TTGCATGAGAATGGACAAAGAGACAAAATGGAGTTACTGAGACATGAGACCATAAAAAAAGGACTAAGCATTCTAAATACCTGCATCCTTAGGAAGCATGCAAGGGTCATATGCATTTGTTTGGTTTCTCTCTCATGAGAGAAGTCTCCGCAATCTTCTGACCTCCCCTCGTACGTTTGAAAAAGCTGCTTCGTGGGACTCCAATGGGATATAGATGAGACTCAAATTCGTCGGGCTCTGGTAATTTTTAAAGAAAACGAAATATCATATTACTAACGTGACCTTTTCCTCTCAAAACCCATATGAAAGCAAGTCAATATTCCATTTACTGTATTGCAAGCATTGGTACATGCCTCCATCACTTCTTCAAAACACTAAAATTGTAAGTCTCTTCCACCTTATCCGCTCTCTTCAGCATTTTGACGCTCATATTTGTATTCCACAGAATCTCTTGCGTACTTGTTCTGTATGTTTTCCTTATAATTTTATATTTTAAATAAAGACCCTTTTTTCCACGGGCCTGGAGTCCTGCAGATCCACAGCAATTATTTATAATTTTTAAATAAACAGAGAGGACAACTCCCTTTAAATTCTGTTCAATCGTCCAAAAAACATATCTAATATTGCAAGTCATATTCCAAGTCTAACGCACTCCATTCCATTATCGATGCAAAGGAGCTCATCATATTTTGCCATACAATGAAATAAAATAAAAGGAAGGAAGAACACGCAAATAAAGAGAATTCTGTTTAACCCACGCGCGCACACCCATATAAATATTCCAAACCAATCCCTGTATATAAGGTGTTTTCAACTAAATTATATTATCTCCCGTTCTAAATATAAGAGCTAGTTGATTAATTTGAATAGATTAAAAAAATTAAATTAATTATTTGTAATAAATATGTATTATTTTTTCTAAAATATCCTTACTAATCAAGTTTATTGTTTAGAATTATAAGGACTATAATAGAAAAAAGTGAATAAATATGAGAAATAAAATAGATTGGGATCTTATATTTAAAATAAAAATAAAAATCAAATAAAATCTTATATTAAGGATCATAAAAAATATAAAATAATAAACATTTATTAAATAATTAAAACGAGATTAAAATAATCACTCGTTTTACAATCTGCAAGGGTTTTGGGGCCAAAAGCCAAACTATTTTAGACAGAAAAAAAAATAAAAAGAAAATCACAACAAGTCTTAAAAAAAATTAATTATTAAAAATTTCAGTAACAACCTAAACAATTAATAATTATAAGTTCTAAAATAAAAAATAATAACTTTTAAAATTGGGAAAATTGTAAATAAAGACCCCTCAATATATAAAATAGCAATCAGGGACCCTGAATTTGAGAAATTACTCACAAGGACCCGGTCTCAATTTGCAATTATGAAATCATGGTCAAATTACCAAAATATCCCTCTTTAATTTTTTTTCCCAAAAAAAACACCATTGCCTCACCGGAATCCGGCCGCCGGAGCTCTGATGCCGGCGGCCTTCCTTATTTTTTTTTTTGAAACTGTTTTTTTTTTAAATTGGGGGGAAGTGAGGTTGGGGAGATTTGATCCCCCAACCTCATGCTTCCCAAAATTAGGAATGACCATTGAACCAACAAATTTTTGCTAACATCATAATACAAAAAAAAATATAAGTTAACTTATTTACTCTTGTTCCAGGTGATAACAAGAATAGATTTGAAAATAACAAGTTCTGATTATAAAATAACAAGTCTGGAATTAAAATTTAACAACACGTTTTTTTTTATAACAACACACTCTGTTGCAGGTGATAACAACAATACATTTGAAAATAACAAGTTCTGATTATAAAATAACAAGTCTGGGATAAAAATTTAACAACACGTTTTTTTTATAACAACCCACTCTTTTTCAGGTGATAACAATAATACATTTGGAAATAACAAGTTCTGATTATAAAATAACAAGTCTGGAATTAAAATTTAAGAGCACCCTTTTTTTATATAACAACACATTTTATTCCAAGTGATAACAACAATACATTTGAAAATAACAAGTTCTGATTATAAAATAAGAAATCTAAAATTAAAATTTAACAACACATTTTTTTATAACAATTAATTATTTATACTTTTGAAAAATAAATTATTTATAACTTATAAAAAGTATTTTAAATCTATTTAATTTGCTAAAAAAATAATTTTTATCTCCAATTTATAATCAAAACTTCAAGTGTAATTTATTATAGATTAAAAATACTTTTTTATGGTTCAAATTTATAAATAAAATTTAGGGAAAATGACAACACACTTTTTTATTTTTTATTTTTTTAATTTTTAATCTATATATCTATACAACTCATTATAATATTTTTATATTATTTCATTCTTTAAATATTAAAATTTATTATTAAGTATTTAAATATTATAGTATAATTTATTATATTAAAAATAGTTTTTATATTTAAAGAAAAAAAATAGTATTTTTAATTATAAATTAGAGATAAATTTCATTTATAAATTTAAGCAATCAAAAAGTATTTTTAATCTACAATAAATTATACTATAATATTTAAATACTTAATAATAAATTTTAATATTTAAAGAAAAAAAAGTATTTTTAATTATAAATTAGAGATAAATTTCATTTATAAATTTAAGCAATCAAAAAGTATTTTTAATCTACAATAAATTATACTATTTATAATTTATAAGAAGTAGTTTGATTTATAATGAGTTGTGTAGATATATAGATTAAAATTTTTTTAAGAAAAATTAAAAAAGTGTGTTGTCATTTTCTCTAAATTTTATTTATAAATTTGAACAATAAAAAAGTATTTTTAATCTATAATAAATTACACTTCAAGTTTTGATTATAAATTGGAGATAAAAATTATTTTTTTAGCAAATTAAATAGATTTAAAATACTTTTTATAAGTTATAAATAATTTATTTTTCAAAAGTATAAAATAATTAATTGTTATAAAAAAATGTGTTGTTAAATTTTAATTTTAGATTTCTTATTTTATAATCAGAACTTGTTATTTTCAAATGTATTGTTGTTATCACTTGGAATAAAACGTGTTGTTATATAAAAAAAAGGGTGCTCTTAAATTTTAATTCCAGACTTGTTATTTTATAATCAGAACCTGTTATTTCCAAATGTATTGTTGTTATCACCTGAAAAAGAGTGTGTTGTTATAAAAAAAACGTGTTGTTAAATTTTAATCCCAGACTTGTTATTTTATAATCAGAACTTGTTATTTTCAAATGTATTGTTGTTATCACCTGCAACAGAGTGTGTTGTTATAAAAAAAAACTTGTTGTTAAATTTTAATCCCAGACTTGTTATTTTATAATCAGAACTTGTTATTTCCAAATGTATTGTTGTTATCACCTGAAACAGAGTGTGTTGTTATAAAAAAAACGTGTTGTTAAATTTTAATCCCAGACTTGTTATTTTATAATCAGAACTTGTTATTTTCAAATGTATTGTTGTTATCAACTGCAACAAAGTGTGTTGTTATAAAAAAAAAACGTGTTGTTAAATTTTAATCCCAAACTTGTTATTTTATAATCAGAACTTGTTATTTTCAAATGTATTCTTGTTATCACCTGGAACAAGAGTAAATGAGTTAACTTATATTTTTTTTTTGTATTATAATGTTAGCAAAAATTTGTTGGCTCAATGGTCATTCCTAATTTTGGGAAGCATGAGGTTGGGGGATCAAATCCCCCCAACCTCACTTCCCCCCAATTTAAAAAAAAAAACAGTTTCAAAAAAAAAATAAAGGAAGGCCGCCGGAATTCGACCGCCGGCAGCCGAGGTGGCGGAGCTCCGACGGCCGGAACTCCGGCGCCGGCGGCCGGAACTCCGGCGAGGCAGGGGTGTTCTTTTTTGAAAAAAAATTAAAGAGGAGTATTTTGGTAATTTGGCCATGATTTCATAATTGCAAATTGGGACCGGGTCCTTGTGAGCAATTTTTCAAATTCAGGGTCCCTGATTGCTATTTTATATATTGAGGGATCTTTATTTGCAATTTTCCCTTTAAAATTTGTTTTATAATTTTTTTTTAAAAGAACCTCGAGTCTCTTCAAAATTAATTGAAAGAAAAAAAGCGAAACTCGGTTTAATAGTTGCGTTGGAGAAATTAGAAGTATGACGCCGCCAGAGCAAGCGTTGGTTCCAAATCTCCAAAGTTGTAAGGGGTTCCAAGCATTTAATGCGAGCTATGATGACTGATCAGTACCACTCTCTCTCCAATCCATTTTCATCCTTAGGAGATCATAAAAATGGGATGGACAGATGACTTTCCATGCTCCTATCTCAGTCAGATTGGCAAAAGGAATTAAACGGATCTTCTCTTGTCTCTGCTTTTTTGGTTCAGCCCCTTCCTCTTTCTCTCTCTTTGCTCTTTAAAACGTCGAATCCCCAACCCCGTAAAGTTTTATGTTCTCCGATTTTTCTGTTATACATATATATATATATCCCCTTTCTCTGTGTCCCAGAAAAACCTCGCAGTTCAGCTTGCAGCGAAGCATCTAACCTCAAACGCACTTTCACCCATGGCTTCTCAGTTACCCGAGCAAAGCATGCGACCTTCCGCTTCGAAACCGTTAAACCCTAAGGCGCCGTGCTTTCGCCCAATTCGTAAGACATGGCGTCCACAACCGGGGCATCAATGGAGTCATGGTCTTTTACAAATGCCGCCGTTGATGCCTCTTCGTCCTATTTACACCTATCATCCTCATTGTTTTGGATGCTTCAGTCTAACTGCATGCTATCGTGGGGTTGCCACTCGCCTTCCTGAGCATAAGGCAGAAAAACATATGGGTGGGAGAATGATAGCTAAAACTCAGAAACCCCCAGATCAAGATGCATGTCTCAGAAGGGAAGCCGACCTGCTATAAGTGCGAGGAGAGACCATGGAAACAGGTGGAAGGTAGGGAACAAGGTGCTTAGGGCAGACAAGACTTCCGATGGTCACCCTATCATTCCATTCCCCGCAACTATGGAGGAATGCGACCACGCTAGAGCCACTACTGTCATGATCAAGAACGTGCCGTATCACTTTCAGTAACTGCTCTCTTCCTCTTCGCCTTTTGTTTTTCTCCCAGGCCAATCCTCCATCTTCTAGTTGCGTGTTGTATTATAACTGTTCATCCTCTGACTAATTCATTCTCTATACCATGGGGATTGTTAGGTTTAAAGACCTGATTTCGATATTGGACGAGCACTGCTTCCAGCAGAATCAAAGTTCTCAGCGGGCATCTTCTCTTTCCATGTATGATTTCGTCTATCTGCCAATGGATTACAAGTAAGTGAAGCACAATACCTTCTATCTGAGTTTAGTCTTGTAGATCTTGCACATGTTAATGGCTCTTGACTGCATGCGGAGTCCCCAGGAAATTTGCATATGAGAATAAGCAATCGAATCTGGGCTACGCCTTTGTGAATTTCACCACAGCAAGAGCTGCGTTTCTTTTTTTCAAACGATTCAATCAACGTAAATGGCCTGGTCACGAGAACTGGAAGTTCTGTGAGGTTGCGAAAGCCCAGATTCAGGTGGGTTATTTCATGAATTGGAATATTTTTTAAGGCATTTTATCTGTTGTGTTAACAAATGATTTGAGGGGGTTATTGCTCTCGGCCATCCGCTGCTCAGGGAAAAGAGGCATTGATGATGAAATTTAAGGAGAAAGTGTTCAGATGTGTGCACCCAAGTTTCCGGCCCGTAGAATACAGACCTGCCCGTGATGGTGCAAATCATGAAGGAATCAAGGGAATCAGCGTGGGCAAGTTCGAAAGAGGGGGAGATGCCTGATACAAGCAAAAGCCCAGGACGCTCCTAAATCAATGAAGCCCCATCAAGTTGCCTTCCGTACGTAGTGAAATGTGCAAGGAGCTTGCTTGATCACTCCCTACTAGTTTAGCGTAGTGTATGTAGGTCTGGCTGATAGGCCCGTAGCTGGTTTTCGGAACGTGTGTTTAGTAGACTAGAAGATGTGACGATGACCTTTGAGGTCTCTCGTACAGTGCAGCCCCTTTGATCATATTTTGCTTTTGTTTAGGATGCAGTGGCTGTTGTCCAGAGCCTCTCCGATGTTTCCACTGTCTCCCTGGCATTGAAACAGGTGAAAATGACAAAAATCCGGGGCGAATTGGAAACATAGGTTTCGGATTTTCTCCTGGGCAAACATGCCCAAGTGTTTGTAACTTTGTACTAACTAGTTGGTTTGTGGAAATAAACTCAATGAATGTACGTCCCTCTACCTGTTTGAAGTTGTGTTTCTTTCTAGTGAAGGAATTCCCTGCAACCAATTTCCACAGCAATGTTTTAATTTCTATCTAATTGAACAGGCTTTCATGGAATCAGGATTGAGTGAAGTAATAAGCGGAATGAATGATACGGGCACAAGGTTGAGGGGCTGAGGTTAGCAGATTGAGGTATGGGGAGTGATCCTTCGAAATCGGTAGCAGCGAACTTTGATGGATGGAACAATGATCTGACAGTGCCCATTATGAGCAGTTTACTTGCTCCGCCATGAGGTGTTAGGCGGCAGCCCCCTTTCACTGCTCACGTCACGTCAATTGCAGCGCAAAGGATCCCGCAATCGCTCCGCCGCCCCCCTTTCCTTTTGGGCCTAATGTTTCTGTTATTTTTAATTAAATATATTATGCAGAAAATAATAATAATAATAATCTTTCAATCATCAAATCAAATGCATGTTAGTCGCAGCTCGTGTATTGAACCATATATAGAAAAAATTGAGGTTAAAAATGATGGCGACTTTGAATTGAATCACTCTTCCAAAAGAGAGCCATACAGATTTCTCAGGGAATGCAATTTCTCGTATGAGTTGGTTCGGGATTAATTGACAATGGCAGACTGAGCGACAGATTTTCGAATTTTCCAATCACCACAGATAAGGGTGGCAGGTAATGAGATCATGAACAAAAACCCAAGTAGATGCGTTTGTACTCAATGAAAAGAAACCATCACGACCACATAGTAGGCAAATTAATAATTTCCTCAGATTCTACAATATAAAATAAAAATAGTTGAATTACATAAATTTAGAATAATAATAGGTAAATATATATTTTATTCTCCAAAATGTAACATTATTTACAGTGAGTGGGGGAGAGAAAATCAACAACAACCAGGAAAAAAAAAACCTCCTATGACATTATCTATAAATAACGTTCAATACGTTTTTATTATAATCAAGAATTTAATATTTTTTTTTAATTTCATTCATATTTAATATACACACTTACCAGAAAAATTATAGTGACAAGTGATGAGTAAAATAATACATTTAATTTATGTTAAAATTTTGCTTTTATAAATATGATCCGACAATTATAAGTAAACAATGCATGTAGTATGTAATCAGTCCGGACAATATTTGGGAGTCTGATTTTAAATTCCTCTAATAAATCATGGGAAGTGGGAAGCGGTGAGGTTAAGCCGTACAATTTTCAACAAACTTCTTGCATTTGACTTTAATCTGGGGACATGCCTTTTCCGGACCGCATAATTTTTTACCGCCTCCGTTGGTTTAAAAAAGTTTGTTACCCGAGAGCGCTTACCTTTAATTTTATTTATATTTGCTCCCCTTGATATGAGGACATTTTGACACGTGTTATTGTATTGTAAGAGTTAAATTAATTAAAGATTTCCTTGTATGTGTGTTTAATCCTTAACAGTGATAAATATATGGGTTAAAGTACAATTTTGACCCAATCTTATTTTTTATATACAATTTTGATCAGGTTTAAAATTGCACCTAACAAAAATAGATCAGAGCAAAATTTTATCACTAAGAGATTAAGAGTAAAATTACGCCCAAAAAATAAAGTCGGGATCAAAATTACACTTCAACCATATATATAATCGGGTTCGGGGCCTGCATTTCTTGGGAGTGCACTAATTTTTGTGAACTGTCCATGCCTTCCCTGATTCGCGTTTGCGAATCATGAGAAAGGCCCACAAGTCACCCTTCTCCCGTACAAGGTAACGTGTTTTAAGAATTCGGCTTCTGTTGTATGACTGCGCCCACTGTTTGTTAAATGGGCTTAGAACTCGACCATGTGTTTTAGTGGGCTCATGGATCCTAAGCCCAACAGAAACCCAGGGACGCGATACCTTAACCAATCATATCACACGCACCGCACCGCACCGCACGGCACACCTATTTGAACCAATTTGTTTTGCATTTGTGGGATATAGTAATTGTTGTCTTGTTACCAGACAGCGGAAGGCTACGGCCAACAACTAAATGATTTATACGTTTTCACAAAAATTTTTATATAAAATTTGGTGAATTTGGGCGGTGCTCTTGTCGTTAAGCGGCTGATTATTGCTTCCACAACAATTTTGTTCAGCAAACATTTTCAAAAATGGTAAATTATAAAGTCACGATTCACCCGACTATGTAATTCAGTATGCTTGCGAACCCTTCTGTAATTATACTACCTTCCAAATATTTTGATTTATTTCCTCACCTGAAAACAAGGTTGTCGGCTCATTCCAAAGATTCCTGCATTTCTCTTTTCAGGGAACAATCCTATGAATGGTTGGGAGCACCTAACAACCATGTGAACTGAAAAACATATACATATTTATATATATATATATATATATATATACTACTCTAGTCCTATTTATAAGCCACTTTCAATATGTTTCACACAGACAGAAAAAAAATTAAATTTCATTAATTCTCATTTAAAATTCAACAACTTTTAACTTTATCTCTATTTAATATTATATTATACCTTATATAGACAAAGCCAATACAATAATAAATAAAAAGTAAAATTATACATTCATACAAAAAATTTCTCTTAATGCCCTAGAAATAAGATCAAAAAATGTATTTTCTCTTTTCCCTATAAATAGCACTAGAGGAGTTATAACAAATTAAAATAATTACTATAAAGTCTTCAAGATTTCTTTGATGGCGACAGCGTTTTAAAATTAACGTGATTGGTGCTTTACAGCTAAAAAATAAACAAATATCCACTTGCCTTCTGTATTCTATTCTTTTTTCTTCTTTTTTTTGTACACGCCATCTATATTCTATTCGCTTGACTATTTCTTCCCAACATCCTGGGAGTTCATTTCCAATCGGCGTGGAATCCATTAGTACACGCCTATTTATGTTAAGACGGCCAGCCGGAGCAGAATTTTTAATGGAAGCATTCCAGGGCAGCTCGTAAATATAGCCCTTATTAAGGGACCACCGAAAAGGATGGAGTGAGTTCAACGGGTTAAATTATTTAACTTGTCTTAATTTGATCGATGGGTTGAAAATTTAAACCCGACTCACCATGCAAGTTAAACAAACTAACTCGTTTAATATAAAAGAAAATTAAAAATAATAATACCCACATAGTTCAACGTTTAATTTTTTTATTGGGTCAGCTCATCTCGACAGCTGCTTATTATTAATATATATATATATATGGGTGAGAAAATAAAGGCTTGTTTGTCCTTTTTGAGGGTATTTAGATGTCCATTTCCATGGAGAATTATTTAATTAGAATTGTTGCTAGTTTTGGTGAAGTAGGCGCTAATTAAACAAAGGGTCAATAACTGGATGATCTAAAAAAGAAAGGGAAAAACGGCTCGAAACAAGCCCATATTACGTGTGGCGTATCATGTGTTGACGTATGAAGGTAGGCGCTGGCATGAATATCACGGAACACGACAAAAATAGAAGAATAGCACTCCACATTATTATTTTTGTGGTTTCTTAGTATGCGAATGAAGAATATGGTGAGTTATTGCGGGGGACTGAATTGTCATTTAAAAATCAAGTTTGTGGGTAATGAAGGTTTGGAGCTGGGGAAGAAAGTGATGGAGTAGTGGATTAATGTCAGGATTTTGAAAGGCCACCACTTGCTGAATCCAGGCAGAAGAAGAGGACGTGAGTGGTGATAGTTTAATGGAGTAAATAGGCTGGCTTGGTGAGAGAGCAGGAAGATTCATTGTGGAGAAAGCAAAAGGAAGCAATATATATATATATATATATATATATATATATAATATGCATGGTGGGGAAGCAGTGCTTGGACAGTGAAGACAAATTAAGGAAGGAAGGTGAGTGACCTTTCCGAGCATGAAATAATAGGCGGCCTTGACCCGCTGTGATTGCTAAGGTCAAGGTTATCTCTACATCGTACCATCCACACCAAGCTGCCACACAACCCCCCCCCCCCACTTATACCTTTCAATATTTTATGAACTGGACCACTTTGCCACTCCATCCAAGTGCAAATCACCCGTTTTACACTTTATTAGTTAGACTTTGTAGTAAAAAGTTGCCGTAAAAATTAATTACCTACCAGTACAATACAAATCTGTATTACTAAGGGAACACATTACGTACAGGCACGTATACCCCATGACTCCACTGCTTCCTTCATATATATAATATTTTATTGTTAAATCATTTACTTACTTTGGCATGGCAGTACATATATACAGGAGGCGTACGCATGCGTCCTATAACCCCCCCTGCTTCCCTGCATGCCTGCCCCCTCCTTCATTATTGCTTCGCCCACACAGAACCATGTTATCTAAAATTCGAACATTTTTAATACTGCTTCGTGTTTCCTGTCTACACACATGTACACACCCACATATGCACGCGGAGCTTTCTCCAATCTCCATCCACGTGATCGCCTGGCATGATCACATGTGGATCCGTACGTCCTCAATTATTCTCATATATATATATATATACACACACACACACCGCCTTCTTTTTCTTTGTTTTTTCTTTTTGGTTGCTGCCTATACAATATACGCGCGCGCACTATAGTTACCGCATTACGCATATGTTTCCATGGTACGGATTCGAAGACATATTGATAAATGCCGAAACAAATTACATACATGAATAAAATGTCTATGCACAACAACTTACCATTAAAACGCCTCTTTATTCTTCAAAGAAGAAGCATCACTAATTAATTAGTCTGAAAAAAAAGGCATCACATTATTGAGAATCGTATATATCAAAACATGAAACAGTACATGTAGAATGTATATTTACGGGTATGGGATGCCTGTCTCATTAGGTGACATGTATCAATATGAGTGCGAGTACGTGCATTTTACACAAATTGGTGTATGTCATCAACACCCTCACACACAGACACATTTAACAAGTCAAGATTCTTTACTCCAAAGGGAAAAGAAACCATTCAAAAATGATGATGGCGTGGTTGGTTTCATTACTCTCAATTCAATTTCACTCACACAAACTCTTTCACTTTTTCAACACATCATGACTGTACTCATCATGAACTAATTATCTTGGGATAGGTGGAAGACTTTAAACCCAATACATACATTATTGACTGACTTAACGGTTAAATGAAACTTCCAAACTAATTACTTTCCGCATTGCATAAGA